CGGCAGTGGGATAAGAGGGTAAAGAGTAGATAGATAGGCCAGGACAGAAGGAGTGATAGTGTAACCGTTTTCAGCAGAACGGTTGTCGAGGGATTGACTTTACTTGTCTCTGACGAGTTCGTATCTTGGTGCGGAGAATGGATCCGCACCAAGATACGAACTCGTCAAAGAGAGAAGTGAAGTCAATCCCTCGACATCCGTGGGAATGGCAAAGCGACTACGATGCCGGCGAAACGTTTGAGAATGTATCAAGTCCACTGTCAGATGCTGGGAATCATGACAACCACTATGGTAGACAACAAAGTCGGCCTGACCACAAAACCAAGTTGCGACAACGAGGTCAACCCACTTTTTAAGTGGATGCTGTTGAAATTCCGGTAGTCTTGTCTATAAAAGTTTTTCTCGAGGATAAGGCTGTTAAAGGCTTTGAAAGATATCGGTTCCGTAAAAATTAAAATATAAAACACAGAAATAGTCACCCCTACTTACCGAGTAGTGGGCGGCCAAGTCAAAGACCATGAAGTAGGCCTGTTCGTCTGCCGGATTCGTGAAGCCAGCTACCACGAGGCGATCGTCGTGTGAAATGGCCAAATAGGAGACGGCGTCCCGCACCAGCGGACTCAACGCCTGATAGGCAATCTCTCGAGCCGGCTGGTTGCCTGGCAGATCCCATACTAGGATGGTGGGCCCAGCCAGAGTGCTGCGAGCCGCCACGACATGCTCACCGCTGTGCGTTAGGCAGGTGGCGGTGCAAAGGACGTCGCAAGGCATCTCCATTTGGCTGCCAGTCACAAAGTTCCACAGCTTGAGGCCGTCGGTCGTGCAACCAATGCATTGGGGGAGGCAAGGAGAACAAGATTTAGGGAGAGCGAGAGAAGTGGGGACGGAGACAGAGATAAACGGCCCAACGAACACGTTTCACATGCTTCACGTATTTCACACATGCTTCAGTTGGCTTGAAAAAGCGAGTGAATAGGCTTCGTAAATGACACCTTGGCGCACCGTTTTGAGACTCCAATGAATACATACTGAGATTTTATTTGTTATGCGAGTAAAAATTTCAGAGCACTATTGACAAAGTACGAAGAATTATCATAAAGCATCGGCAGCTATCATATGATAAATAAAACCTCGGAACGGGTCCATCTGAGATGCCGAGGAGTTGTTTCCACAGATATAGTCAAGGCTCCAAGACCATCCGACTTCGGCTTCCGGTGGGGCCAAGTTGGGAATCTCTTTCAGTCGTCTCTTCAAACAAAACGGAAAGTAGGCTAGCATTAATCCTCAGTCCGCTTTTGATGAGGACAATTTAATGTCCCGTCCAAATGTCTCCTCAAAAAATGTGGAAAATATGCCATCAATCATTCTCCAATTTCACGATGCCGATTTTACGAGTATCCTCCATTCGTCTCTTCAAACGAAATAAAAGCTGTGCTAGCATCAATCTGTCAAGAAATTCTCCAAAACCCTGCTCTTCACGCCTCAGGCTCTCTCAGACAGCTCAAACACTCACCTGTCACGAAGCCATGCTAGTGGCCTGGCAACAGGGCTCTCATTGCATATTCACACCCAAAGCCTACATTTGCTCGTTTTCCTGAATGCAGGGGGAAAGACGGTAGCCAAAGGCAACATAGACCTCGCCAAGCACAAGGGTCATCTTCTCTGGTTGCTCCGACTCACCTGCAGTCGCTTAATACGCTTCAAACCGGCCTCAGTGGCGATGTGCTGTAGGCTTGTGAGTGCGCCTTCATCGGCCACCTGACCAACCAACACGGTGTCCCCGCAGGCCAGATGCAGGTCGGTGCAGCCGAGCTCCAGGCCTTCCATTACCTTGAACAGGTCGCCGGTCTACAATGGGAGCGGGTGAAGAGAGTGGTAGAGGCAAAAAAGGCAAAAGAGCGCAGAGTGCTTATTCACGATGAGGGCAATTTCCGAGGCAATCCGTAAGTTGCGAATGAAAACCTGCCATGTAAGGCCATGTCAAAAGCAATTTGTATCGAGATTAAGTAGTGTCGTAGAGCAAGTTGGGAGCGGCCTGACAAGCCACCGACCTATGCGAGGTCAAATTGCAGTCCAGCTCTATTCATATCATTGTGGGAAAATTCTACTACCAGTCATTCATCACCTTGAACAAAATAGGGTGAAACATCTTATAAAATTGATTTACTGGTAGTCTTGAAACTTTACTCATATATGAGAAGGCTTCATAATGCTATCGAAGTTCACCGTGCCCTGCAGCCAGGTTTTTCTGTATTTAGTAAAATTTGTATTTTTTTGAACAGGGTGAAAAGTGAGAATACCAATGATCTAAATTTTTCAATAGACGACGTCCCCTATTTTCGAAGTAGCCTATCCAAAAGATTGTGGGAAAAGTAAACAATCAGTTCTTAAATCTACCTAAGCGAAATATAGTGGATACGAAGAGAAACTTGGTTTCGATGAATCTTCTGAGATAACATTGTTAGGGGGACCTTCATTTCG